TTCAGGAGGGATGAAGAGACTGATAAGCAGTGGCCATTTGAGCACAAAGTTATATGGGATATTGTTCTCGCCATCATTTTGGCACTCAAGCTCCGATGCCATATCAAAAACCTTGACAACCTTTTCTGCACTGCTGCAGCTGCAGTATACTGTGCTGTATTGGAGCTCCTGGAGTGGTAAAATGGTTGACATTGCGTTTTCAGCTCTTAGCTATAAACATATGTACAACCAATTGATGGACTACATTATCAAGCACATCACCCCTAATGCAGAATTAGCAAAGCAATGGGAGGATTTCAAGACTTGTACTATTACTCAATTGGAAGACATACTGACCTAGTGACTAATTCTTACTTATGCTGGTAGCAGTACTAGTAGTAACGGTAGCTTTCTAATACTCATGGAAGTTGCAGAGTCACGACGTCAAGTGAAAAAGCACTAATCCATATGAATATTCCTCTCCTAACTTGATCGCACTACAGGCCACAGAGGAGAAGCAGCGACGTAAAGATGAAAAGTGTGCTGCTCTTACTGGACTCAACATCAAAGACATCCATGATTCGAGCTCCGCTACATACTATCTATCCTAAACTGTGCATGCTCCCCCTAACAATCTGCGTCCTAGTCTGGTCTCTCATCCCCCCCGAATTTTCTGCCGGCTTCAACTGCAAACACAGACACTACAAATACTCCTTCACCTCTCATGGACTCGACGTATCCCATGTGCAATCAGCTACAAACAGTCTTGAGTCAGCGAACTGTGACTTTGCAATTTGTACAAGCTTCATCCAGGAAAAAAATCAGTGTCATGCACGGACAGATCAATCCAGTCTCCCGAATCTGATGGCAATAACCGAGTAGCTTCCTCGACTGTTGGAAAAGCAAGTGAACCCTGCAAAGGTTTGTGGGTCTTGTCTCTTCAGTCAGCAGCTGCTCAGGTTACTCGTACTAGTATAGTCAGACGCTCCGAGTCAATCTGCGGTATTGTGTGAGTTGAGGGCATCAAAATTTTCCTTTTTAAACTCACAGCATTAAGTTTTGGCAGGCCCATTATAGAAGGTCTGCTGAGCCCTTGATGCATTGATGCCGTTGTCAAAAACCTCCTCACCTCTGCTTCCTCACCCTGAGCCCAGTGTTAACTTCGAAATTTCCATGTAGATTTAATGTTGCGTGCAATCGTAGTGAGTTCCCGACGCGGGACTCGGACATGTTAGCACTTGATAGGGTGACCCGAGTAGCTGCCTCCCTCCGAGTCCAATCATCTTGTAAAGGTATAACACCTTCCTATATATGATATCTGTCCAAGCAACACTTCCCCTTATGTTCTATACACCCATCTGATGCTGTCTTGTGTAGGGATACTCTTTATAGGCAACTGACATAGGTCCCGTCTAGTATATAAGACGTAGGCTTGTTAACTCTATCCCTCATCTTGCACCTTCCCCTCATCTCCTTACTGCTTCATTATCATATTGATTCATCCCTCCCCCCTCCTTGCTTCCATGTTGGGTGCCAGCGCGTTAGACGTCAACGACCCGCAGGACGAAGGCAGTGCGTTGCACATTAACTCAGAGGACCGGCAGCGCGAGGTCAGCCGTCAGCAGGGAAACTCCAATGCAAACGCAGCGGAAGCATCTGTACAGGCCCGGCAGAGATGAAGAATCACGCAATTAGAGAAGAAGCTGCAGGTTCTCGAGTCGGGGCATGCAGTCAAAGAAAAGTAAGAGCGATATTTCAGGTATCAAGTTGGTTTTACTCAGTCTAACAGGCAGATGAACTACTACATGGCCCAAGGACAAGCGATCAGGCGGATCATTACTCTGTTTGATAGCATTGAAGACCTTGTTGGCGAGAATGACAGAAGATGCGATGCTGATGATGACGATGAAACTACCCTTGAGTAAGTCTTTTGTCCTGCCTTCAGCAACACTACTTATTGGTTTTTTTCACATAGCCAAGATCGACTGCAGGTCAGATACATCACCTTGACAAATTCCATGCATTGGTTTTACAAAAGGGCTTTGGAATTGGAGCACGATGACTATCTACAAATGTTAAAAATGGTTTGCTTTCCTATGTTGCATATTGGCTTTATTGGATTAATTTTTTATATATAGCTCCGGCAAGGGGCCGACGGCACTTGAGGTGACAATACCTCAAAACTCAAGACACTTGTTTCTGAATGGGTCAACTGTGAGTTCAAGCCAGATCCACCTGTCGACCCAGATGACAAAAATTCCCATGGATTTACAAACCATGTGTGCGGCAGGCTGCTCTGCCCGGCCGAGCTTGATTGGAGCAATTTAGCGTAGGTATGCCCCTCTGAATCCCCGGAAATGGTACTTATGTTTGTCATCTTCGCCAGGGTAAGGACAGGGATTCGCGATCACTCGGATGGTTACATCATAACGGATCTCTCATTTCCGGCCTTCTTGTACAAGAAGTACACTGTCAATCCGGACGACCTGGAGGAGGGCCTTTTCAAAGGCAAAATTCTTGTTCAGGTTTGTGGCACATAATTAGCCCACCGGTGATCTCACCACCTTTTTTCAAGGCTACAAAGCGGTTTTCACATCACCTTCCTCGGCCAAGGATATCGAAGGTGATGGCAATGGGACTGATATCATCCAGAACAACAGATGTGCCGAAAAGGCTTCCTGCGGGCTCAAGGTCAAAAAGCATGTAGCGCAAATCATCCACATGGAGAAGGTCACTCCTTGCTCAATTGCATATATTGTCTGCCAAGTAAGTTTTAGTGTTCAATGAGGTTAATAGTAGATGCTAACCGAAGTTACAGGTAAGGTTTGCGCTTTCCTCAGTGACCTCCTGGCGGTCTGTCGACAGAGACTTCAACTACGTCCAATTCTGGCGGACGGTTGTGGACTTCTTTGAAAGACCCCCCAGTCGAGAAGCTCAGCGCAGGGTTGACAGACTCCTCAAATGGTGGACCAGGTGCGCTACATACTATCTACTTTACCTACCAGCCTTTGCTTCAGCTTCACCATTTAGGAAGGTTTTCTGAAGGAGTCACCGTGTAGACCTTAGCAACGCAGGCAAAGGCCAATATGTCTGTTAACACTCTGGCAAAACAGAGGGCGCAATGCAATGATGCTGCTTTTGATTCCCCCTAGTAATTTATCACTGTCTTACTGTCCTATTTACATCCGAATTATATTTTGCTATTAATTTTATGACTTGATGTACTTGCTTGGTGTGAAATGCCCTTTTGTGAGAACTTACAGACCTCTTCATGACCATGAATGATTTAAGTCCCAGTGTGCACATGCTGAATCCAGCAAGTAGAGGACAGCAATCTTGACCTCTGTATGTTTGATCTTTGTGCTAATAGACTGTTATAAAATACGAATGATCTCTAGAACGCCGTTCAAATTCCAGTGTGCATATCCCTCAGTTTGATTTACATAGGCTGGATCTGTACGGTGTTTTATCTCCGAGCCAAAAGGCCGTGACAGATATGGGTAATCTCCATAGCATGCTTCAAGTTGCGGTGTGCAGATCCCTCAATGTGATTGAAATAGGATGGATCTACAAGGTAGAGTGCAGACATTGCAGGTCGTTGTATTTTTTTAGATCCGTGCTCATAAGACATTACAAATACAAATATTCTCAAAAGCACTGTTGAAGTTCCAGTGCGCGGATCTTCGCAAAGACACACAACTGTCCTGATGGCATGGTGCATTACACAATTCGCTCGTCGATTGAGAAGCGTGGTACCAGGGTGTCCCATGACTGACTGCTGTCAAGTCCTGAGTGAAGGGAACATACCATAAAGATACAGCATCGGTGCAAGGGTACAACTTCTTGGAACAGTACCCAGATTAGAATACAACTCATAGTCATTAGTTATATACGTAAAATCTCTTGAACATTTGAAACAAGATATGAATTGACTTTCACTCACTTGGCAAACAGATCAGAGCTGCCGCGCAAGGTAACGGCGTTTTCACACAGATTCCCAATTGATGTATGGCAGACAATCATTAGATATCTAAAACATAGAGCATTAAAATTTTAAATGGTATATGTATTTATTCTCGCTCACTCATTGGGCACATCGTCAATCTTTGGAAGATGCTGTATTTGACTCTTACTCAGACGATTATCCTATAATTGACAGACATCAAGGATTTCAAGCAGAAGGCGTGAAAATGCAAAGCAGTACATACATTTATTCTTACTTGCTCATTGAACACATCGTCAATCTTTGGAGGATGCTGCATTTGACTCTTAGCTTCGAAGTTGTGAATGTGACCTCTTGAGATTGCAGTTATGATTCATCTGGCTCGACCATTAGCTTTACCAGACATCAATTTAGTCTCAGCTCACTTGGTGGACAGTCGTCGTTCACTAGAAGATCATGTCTTTTCCTCTTGGCTTTGCAATTGTGAACCTTACTTCGACGTGGTGGCTGTTGATGCCTCTAGATTGATTATTAGCTGTTGCTCCACCTTGTCACTAAGTCTGAGGTGAAGCAACGGGAGCGCCCCCCTCCCGATCACAAGACTGTTTAAGAAAATCAGCAACTATCCTTTCCTATGTAAGGTCAAACATGATTATGTGACAATCGATAGCAGAATTTTGCTGATGCTTGTGATTGTGTACTATATATCGCTATCTATATCATTCTAATTTGTCCACCAGTTCTCTGATGAACTTGAACATTCTTTGACTGTTAGTCACTTACAACGCTGATTAAGAAAGCATGGAGAACGACTTGCCAGACGATCTAACTGTTAACGCCCTTTATTACTCGAACAACTTGGGACCACGTTGGCGGAGGTTCATATGGTGATGTCTGGAAATGCAATTGCAATGCAGGTGCCAGTCTATCATGCCTCGTTAGTCGATGTGTTGGATTCATTCACTACGCAATTGGCTGACATCAGGAAAAACCCCAAAATGCCGTAGCCCGGGTGACAGCTATATAGCACTATGTAGGCACAGTAGCACTGTGTAGGCACACCTTACACTACATTTACGTATATAGTGCTATATAGTCTAAAGCCACGCTACATGCAGCTACATAGTTACGAAGGCAAACACCATGGCTACAGGTAGCTACAGGAGCTACCACTGCGCTACAGGCAGCTACAGGTGCACCCGTAGTACGTACATGACATGTTGTTGTATTTAATTACTTATAACACATGCGCAAAACATTTCGCCATCAATGAACTCATTGAAATAAAATCGTTCACCACCTCATATGCATTTCCACTTCTCAACCTCAGATCTACTGTTTGTCAGACCCTTCAGTCATATGTACTGCAGAACCGAGTGATAGGACATGTACATTGACCTGCAAAACCAGGTGTACAGGACAGCGGCCGGCCCATGCAGAACCAGACCTGGCCGGTGTTGCAGAACCCTTGCAGGCTGGTGCCCTATTATACACAATGATATCTCTGCAGTATCTGTGTAGGCCGGTGATAGGCCTGGTCATGCAGGCTGCATAGAGGGGCCGGCCAACATGCTGCTGGTATCTGACACAGTAGGCCAGCCTGCCTCTGCAGTATGTGGAGGGCTGCCGGCCGGCCTAAGAATCAATTGTTGCTTGCAGGGCCAGCCTGCTTTAGCAGTCTGCAGGAGAGGGCCACCCAGCATGCTTCTCATATCTGGCTGAGTAGGCCAGCCCCCCCTTACAGTCTATAAGGAGGGGCCGGCCGGTGTTCTGTGGGCATCTGGTCCAGTAGGCCTGCCCACCTTTGTAGTATGTGGGGGGTGTCCGGCCGGCCTAGGAATGAATTCTTGCTCGGCCAGCCTCCCTTTGCAGCCTGCATAGAGTGGCCTGCCCCCCCTGCAGTATGTGGGGGGTGGCCGGCCGGCTCAGGAGTGAATTCTTGCTTGGCCAGCCTCCTTTTACAGTCTGCATGGAGAGCCCGGCTGGCATCCTGTGGGCAACTGGCCCAGCAGGCCTGTCCACCTCTGTAGTATGTGGGGGGTGGCCGGCCGGCCTCGGAGTGAATTCTTGCTGGGTCAGCCTCCTTTTATGGCACAACCACACACTCAATGACTTTCTCAATTGGGGGGTTCCTCTCCTTTAACAACAGTTTCCGGAACTTAGTGGTTGCATCCAACTGGTGGCAGGATCACTGGAGAACACGTTATGGTCTGCATGGAGGGACATACATTCACAGACAAGGGGTGAGTGTAAAATGGAAGGAGCAGATGATATGTAGAAAGGGAATATGTTAATGAAGTAAACTCGCCATTCATGCAAGACGCTGGGATTACAGTTATCCCTGACCCAATTGCAGTCAATGGGCATGTCCTCGCAACACTAGGTCTATGGTTAACATAAATCTGTGCAGGCACTCGATTATCAAAACTCGCCATTCATGCAAGACCTTGGGATCACAGTTATCCCTGACCCTGGATGGATGAGTTTGAGTGAATCCTTAGTGCACATTGCAAAAGGAGGCTGGCCCTACAAGCAAGAATTCACTTCTAGGTCGGCCAGCCACCCCCCACATACTGCAGGGGTGGGCAGGCCTACTGGGCCAGATGCCCAGAGCATGTCGGCCGGCCCCGACATGCAGATTGCAGATGGAGGCTGGCCCTGCAAGCAAGAATTCTCTCCTAGGCCGGCCAGCCACCCCCCCACATACTGCAGGGGTGGGCAGGCCACTGGGCCAGATGCCCAAAGCATGTCGGCCGGCCCCTCTATGCAGGCTGCAAAGGAAGGCAGGCCCAGCAAGAATTCATTCCCAGGCCAGCCGGCCACCCCCCACACACTGCAGAGGTGGGCAGGCCTACTAGGCCAGAAGCCCAAGGCATGCCGGCTGACCCATCTATGCAGGCTGCAAAGGGAGGCAGGCCCAGCCAGAATTCATTCCTAGGCCAGCCGGCCACCTCCCACATACTGCAGAGGTGGGCAGGCCTACTATGCCAGAAGCCCAAAGCATGTCGGCCGGCCCCTTTACACCATGTTTACATTCTGAATACTCACATCACACTTTTTTTTACAAGTCAGGAAGATCAATATTACATTAGCATGTCAACTCGTGAACTATCAACTTGTTATAAGTAATTTTCCTTCAAAATTCTTGAGACCCTGAGCTGAAAATTCTGCCCACATAGATGCCTGCCTCTCAGCATATGCCCTATTCCCATTCTTGATGCTTTCATCTGCCCAAACTCTCCACCTCTCCTCCTGTGTCCGAAACCAGGACATGGTCC